CGTTGGAGCGGTTACACGGCAGGAATTCAGCCTGTGTTGGGACAGAAAGTGCGCTACTGCCAGCAGACACGAGAGGGCAGGCAGAGGCAGGTTTAGAGGCTGAACTGGGACAGAAACGTGTTGGAGAGCAGTTGGAGGCTCTCAAAGCCTCCTGTATGACCCTTTCCCCTGCTTGTGAGGGTAGGTACCGTCTGTAAGGGTTTGCCACCCGGTGAGCTGTGGCCGGACGCAGCTGTGTACATTAGCGGGCAGAGTCAGGAGTGCTCCAAATGATTTGTGCTTATTTAAGGTTAGTTGCTTCCTCTCCTTTTTTTTCACCTCAAAGAATGTGACAGCCTTTTCTGCACTTGGGAGTTACCCATTATTGTGGGAGGGTGGGCTTTACCCTTTTGATTAGAAAATAATCTTTCAGCTCCAGATACAAGTTTCTTCATGTCCAGTTTATATCCATTTGTTCTTGTTAATCGAAATATTTTTCCTACCCTCATGTTTCTTTGCTGCTGTATTTCTAGAAGCCGCTTATATCTCCTTTCACCTTTTTCACTGAGATAAAGGAAGCTCTTTTGGTCTTCTCCCACAAAGCAGGTCCTTCCCTCTTACGATTGCCTTGGTAGTGGCTTTTCTGTACCTGTTCCAATTTGGTTTAATCTTTCTAGAGGTGGAGGACTGGCACTGTGTAAAGAAATGCGAGATGTGACCTTGCTTTATACAGTGGCACTAATACTTCCCTCCATAAATGAAGGGGTTGCATTTTCCTTTCTTAGAGCTGTGTATCAGAGTTCTCCTAGAATTAAATCGTTCCCAAAATCATTCTTCTCCTTTCTCGTTCCCAGTGGATAAACTTTAGGTGTATTTTAGGAGTTTTGTTACTCTCTGAGTGTGAGACCTCTTTACTCTGCACTAGTAGAATTGTTCCATTTCTTCACTCCAGACCTTGATTATTTTTTCCTGTGTGATTTTCTGTTTCCTCTGCTGCAGATTTGGAAGCTGAAATTGCACAAGAAGAAAGTGACTCACGTGGAGTTTAACTCCCGATGTGAGTGGTTGCTGGCCACAGCGTCTGTGGATCAGACAGTCAAAATCTGGGACCTCAGAAACATCAAAAACAAAATGAGTGTTCTTCATCTGCTTCCTCATGAGAAACCTGTCAATGCAGGTGAGTTAAGACTTTCATTGCATGGCTGTGTGCAGAGTCCATTCAGCTCAGCATTTATTGTTGTGGCAGTGTAGCTTTCACTCAGATCTGCAGTGGTGCAGGAGTTGGAAGCAAGGAAGGCATTGGGACTGTGTGGCTGCAGGCAGGGAGGTGGGTAGGGCAACTGCAGCATAGTCAGACTTGCCATGCAAACTGTGGCACTGTGCCTCAAGAGGGGTGAGTATGGAACCATCAGCAATGGCTGAGCTTAGAAACCACTATTTATTGGGGCAGTTCCTTTGCCAAAAGCAGAGCTTGGGACTCAAACTTCTTGTTTCTTGGGTGCAGTTTTACCAGTTCATGGAAGTCCAAACTGCAGGTGTCTGGTTGCAGTTTTTCCACTATCCGTTTGAGTGAGCAAGTTCCTTTGTTTGCAATGTCTCTTTCTGCCATTCTAAAATGAGAATGATAGTTCTTCCTCTGTAATCCCGTGCTGTAGGTTTCAGCTTGCTGTTTGTAAGAGCTTTGAGTTTGAGACAGAAGAAGTCTGTTGGGACACATGGCCATAGTCACATCCTTATTAAAGAGGTAGCAGTGGGTCTCCAACCAGAGAAATGCGACTTCGATGTTGTCAGTCACAGCACTGTGAGCTTTTGTTTGCCTTCCTGTTCCCCTCCCTTAGCTTACTTCAGCCCAACAGATGGTGCCAAGCTCCTGAGCACGGACCAGCATAGTGAAATCAGGGTTTACTCATCTTCAGACTGGACCAAGCCACAGCATCTGATCCCACATCCACATCGGCAGTTTCAGCACCTCACACCTATTAAGGTGAGTTAAGCCACTGCAGCCTGAGAGGAGTATCACACTCGGTGCTAACAGCCAGCTGTAAATTGCAAATGGTTTGATTTCTGGTCAGGATACTACATGGGTGGGTGGATCATCAGGGGCTGTAGTAATAGGACAAGGGGAAATGGGTTTAAACCTAAACAGGGAAAGTTCAGGTTAGATATAAGGAAGAAGTTCTTTACTGTGAGGGTGCTGAGGCACTGGAACAGGTTGCCCAAAGAAGTGATAAATGCTCCATCCCTGGCAGTGTTCAAGGCCAGGTTGGACAGAGCCTTGGGCGACATGGTCTAGTGTGAGGTGTCCCTGCTCATGGCAGAGGGGTTGGAACTAAATGATCTTAAGGTCCTTTCCAACCCTAACTATTCTATAAGTCTGTGTTCACACTGCTGCAACTCCCAGCAGAGCACTGTTGTGAGGATACTCATGTTCCTTAAGCTCTGTGTGGGATGTACAACCTGTTGCTCCCACTGCCGGTTGTCTGGTGTTTCAGTACAAGCTCTGTCCCTTTCTCCTAACTCCCCATCACTCTGCTCTGTGACCAGGCAACGTGGCATCCTCGCTACGACCTCATTGTGGCAGGTCGTTACCCAGACCCCAAATTCCCAGGATACACAGTGAACGAGCTACGAACTGTTGATGTGTTTGATGGCAACACTGGGGAGATGGTTTGTCAGCTCTATGACCCAAACGCTTCTGGCATCGTCTCGGTGAGTTGGGCACTGTAGCATTGTGCTACATACTAGCAGCTCAGTACTGCTGTGTATTGAACCACAGCTGAGAGACGTGGGTTAGGGACTACAACAACAGGCGTATCCTCTTTACTTGTGACACTCATGCTCTCATGGGGCTGCCAAGCTAAAGCTGCTGACTGGAGCAGGGCTGGTCCATGGTCATCTGTGGGGTTTCTGTGTTGCTCTTTAGTGAACACTGCGTTTTCCAGATGGTTTGTTGCTGTTCTATAAGCTGTGGTGCTCTTATGACTGTGTTATATAAGCAGTGATGCTCTTACAGACTCTGTGTTTCCATTTTCAGCTCAATAAATTTAACCCTATGGGGGACACGCTGGCTTCTGGCATGGGTAAGTAAAGAGAACCTGGGGCACGAGAACGGACAAAGCATTTTGGATTTCTGGCACTGAAGTGACATAGCCTAAGGTGTTATATACAATGTGGAGTTTCTGATGCATGGTGTTTAATTTTTCCTCTCAGGCTTTAATATTCTGATCTGGAGCCGGGAGGAGATGGTGGCCAAGAAGCAGGAACATCTTTTGAAAGCCATGACAGAACAGGGGATTGGAAGCTGGAGTTTGTCCAGATGTGGAGGGCAGAGGCAGGCAAAATCTGGGACGAAGAAACTCAAAGCTAACTTTGTATTGGGAGCTGGAGGAGATGGGAACAAAAAGCAACGATTCTAAATCACAAAATCCCAGGGAAGGAAGTTAAAAGGGAAGAATCTGGAGAACTGATTTAGTATTTTCGTCCTTTCTGGATCACAGGGTACAAATTCAGTGTTGGCAATGGGCAGTATAAGCTGTGCAGGGCATTAGACTTCTACTTTGTCCTTCCTCCCTGGATCTGATCCTGCTTCCCTCATTCTCGTTGCTTCCCTTTCTAGAAAGTTGTGTCAGTACTTGGTTCCTCCTCCACGTGGAGTTACCACCCACTCTGAGGCATTAGGAAAACTTCCGAGATGTTCTCACATCCTTCTGAAGTTACTGCTTCCAGCCTGCTACATCTGCTTGTCATCTCTTGTCAGAGGTTACCACCTCCTGTAGTCTATTGGGGAGCAGCTCCTGACAGGGTCTCCAGCCTGTTCTAGTCAGACTGAGCTGAGAAACCCTTTGCTAACAAGATTAACATCCTGGAAAGGTAGAATGTTCAGAAGGGTGAGGCAATGGGTAGCTCAGGGAGCATCAAACTCATCTGCAAGCTTGGAGAATGTGTACCAAGACCTCAGGCTTAGTCTATTCTGTGCTTGCAGCTGTTTAGCCCATAAAGAACATGATGTTGCCAGAGCTCTTACCTCATGGGATGCAAGGGCAGTATGGAGCTGGGACCCTACTGATGCTGTAGTTGCTGTTGTCAGAGCTTGAGGCTTTTTCTTGCCACTGATGGGTAGTTTTTTTCAGCCATGCCTGTGCTGAAGGCGATGTAAAGCAGATGTGAGGAACGTCTTTGAAACACCCCTGCTCAGAGCCAAATCTCAAGCCTGCTGTTAAACTGAAAGGTTTTGCTTTTTCTAGTTTGTTTACAAGGCTGCCTGGGGCCCTGCTGCTGTCCCAGGGGCTGGGACAGGCTCCAGGCCTGCTCACATTCTGTGTTCACTTTTCTAGTTTCGCAGTATTGATATTAATAAAGTTTTGTACTAAACTAAAGTTCTTCAATAGAGAGAGTGGCTGCTTTGAGCATTCTGAACTGCTTTATAGAGGGGCAGGAGTTGCAGACTCTTCTGCAAGAGGGAACAGAGACCTACAACACTTGTGGAAGTATCATAGTACCCTGTCTGCAACAGGCCTTTCCAGGTTAGATGGGTCTGTGTCATAAGCTCCAGCTGCAGTCAGAAGTAGTTTACCTGAATTCCCACTCTGCTGTATGGGGGACTGTAATTCAGGGAATGACTCTGGGATGGGGTCTATGGCAGCAAGTGCTGCCCATTTTCTAGCACTGAGCACATTGGTGCCCTGTGAGCTCTTATAGAGAGGATGAGGAGTAGTTAGGTGCAAATTTGATTTTAATCATGAAATGTATCAGAACAATTACAGAAAGTCATTCACAGTCAAAATGTTTAAATCATCATAGAAACCTTTCCTCTGTGTGCAAAATTTGCTGACTTTAAAAAACAGGTCTGGGCCTCTACAGCGCACTTTCTATTACCTCTTTCTTGTGCGTGTTTTCATGGGGAGTAGCTTTTTCTTGATGACTGTCTTGCTGTGCAGAAGACCTAGATTATCTTCTCAGAGGACAGAAAGGTGAAGAAGATGCTGAGAACAGCAAGCTGCTTCTGCTGATTTAGAGTTCCCACACTAGGAGAGGCTAGTTATGGGGTAGGGAAAAGTCCCCATGGTACTCCATAGGGGAAGAAAAGGAAATGTCTGTAACCTAAGAACAGGCTCCAGCCAAGAGGGGAAGGGAAGTGCACCAGAAAGGGAAGTAAAAGTGGGAAGTGAATGTGCAGCATCACCACGTGAAGAGCCTGTGCTTCTGGTGCCTGCCGCAGTCTCTCCTTTCCTGCCAAGAGCTCCAGGGCAGGTGGGGAGTGCTTGGCACGGAGCCTCTGCAGCAGCTGCACCACGCACAGAGGCCAGCCCAGAAACAGAACCACGCTTTGGACAAAATGCCAAACCCTGTGGCAAAGTGAAGGTGGGGGGGTTCTGTTTGTTGACCATCCAGTAGGAAAGATAGGAAGGAAAACTACAGACCCTGGCATTTAATCTAGTCTTAGGTACAGCTCTGCTACATCTCTTCTAATTACAGCATAAAGCCATTCTGCTGGTAAAGCATATTCCTTCAGCTTACAGCTGGAATCTGGACTGCCTGCACTACTGGCTATCCCTGTAATAGGTACCTGAAACTCAGAGGTGGGTAAATGAAATTCAAAGGCTGAATCTTTACACGGGGCCCAAGTTTCTCATCTATAGGGACTTTCATTTCTAGAGCCAATGTTGCACAAGAAATGGGTGTGAGTTTGCTGTGGCCACAGGAATTCATCTCTCCTGAAGCACTGAAAGCTTCTTTGGGTCATATGTAACCTACTCTGAGCTGAATCCTAGAAGCTACTGCCAGTCTTGTCCTGATTCCAGGCCAGTCCTCTCTTGAGCTACAATGTGAGGAAGGAAAAGAAGAGCAGTTGCCAGCAGCAATTACTTGGCAGCAACCTCAAGAAACACTTTTGACTGTCTGCCATCACCTGCAGCAGCTCCCTCTGCATGGACAGGAGATGAATCTTGGTGCGTTGCTGCTCTGCTCTGCGCCCAGCCTTGCCACCATCATCATCAGCCCAGTGGCTTGAGACAAAAGCGCTCAGAGCAGGTTGACCCTGAAGAGACATGCAGCTCCTGACTGCACACATGTGGCAGCTGCTGGAGGCCCCTCTGCCACAGTCATGGTGAGTGGTGAAATATTTACAATCACTTGAACAGAGGAAAGCTTGCCCAGCTCCAGGTGGCTGTGTTGGGAATCCCAGGCTAGGTCAACTCTAGAGGACTGGGGGGCACCACACAGTACACTGGCTGCAGAATTAAGGTGTCACTTCCATTAGAACAGCTCAGTCCTCCTTCTCTGGGACGTCGCCTTTAGAAAGCATCCAAAAATCAAGTCCCGCTTCATCCTGGGAAGCAAAGGCCAAAGCAAAAGAATGCTCAGTAACTGGAGGTGCCCAATCATCCTCAGGGGCAACACTGCTCCCTCCTACTGCTTGGGAAGGAGTTGAAGCAACTGTCAGGCCTGCTCTTCTCCCTCATTGGAAACATGCCGGTAGCCAGGGTGCTGGGACTGTATGCGGAAGAGTACAGTCAAGAGGAGGATTATAAGGAGAAGAAGAATGGATCCACAGACAGCCAGACCCACAAACAGTTCTGCAAGGGAGAAAACAAGTGGTCAACACGGGATCAGCCAAGCTTTCCCCTTCTGCTGCACTTGGGACCAGCCTGGGCTCACCTGTATCGTGAACGATGGTTGCTACCTGGCATTCTTGCTCCCAGTCCTGGGGAATAACAGGATCTGTGAGCTCCAAGAATCTTTGCAGGGGACAGCTATGCTGACAGCCAGGGATTGTCAGAGGGAAAGGTTCCTTCCCACTCTCATTCCGGTAAAACATCTCCACAGAGTAGTTACTGAAAACAAAACACAGCCACATGTTTAGGTTTGTTCTTTCTTCCTCCAGCTGAAGTCATCCCTTCCCATAACCTCAGTGTGCACACGTTTTCCTTTATTCTGGTGGTAGTTTTCCTCCTAAATCTGCCACTAGGAGCAAGACTGCATCCCCCTAGGGTGGAGCCTGGCCTAGGTATCTAACCCTTGAGGTGAAATCACAGCAGACGTCTTTACTGCAGCCCTCACCCATCATCCTCTTGGTACAGCTCAAATAAATGACATGAGGCGTATGGTGGTTGAATCTTGTTGTAGACATCTAGAGCCATCTGCAGTGCCACAAGTGTAGTGTCATGCTGGGGAAGAGGGAAAAAAACCAAATCAGTCACCCTTAGGGATGTGGCAGGGCACCTCAGACTGTACCAGTAACGGACAGGGCAGTGCTGAGGGGATGTCACCTTTGCAACTGCCATCTGGAAGAAGGCAGAGGAACTGTACTGCTAGAATGGTGATCTGTGGTGGTGCCAGGGGAGGAAGTGAAACATGGTCATATATCCTGAACTGTTCTTTAAGAATTAATCTCTAGGGAGCAATTTGGGAGACGCTTGACTTTCCAGTCTGTAGCTGCTGGAAAGGGGGAATGGCTCTACCTACGCTGCGGAAACATCACATCTGAGTACCATCAACCAAATAAACACAGCAGTGGCTCCCCAGAGCCTGCCAGTCTCATCCAGAAGCCTGAGCTAATAGGAACAAAGTGCAGGTTGGGAATTTCCTCAGGCTCTCCCTAGGAATAATGCCAGATTCTGCACACCCCACCCAGCCCGAGGCAAAGGTGCATGTCCTGATCACTGCACGGACTGTAGAGAAGCCAGAAAGGGTTAAAACTATCACCAAGCCCAAGTTCCCTGTGAGGAGGAGGAGATGGATAAAAGCCCCCGAGCTCTCACTTACCGCTGAATAGACAAGCAGTTTCAGGTTCTGGTGGGCAGAACCATCTGCTGCTTTGGTCAGGTTTTTCCTTATGTGACCCAGCAGGACCCCTGAGGAAAGGGAACAGCTACTAAGAGACAGAAACTAGACAGAGCAGCATGAAGCTTTCTCCCTCTTGGTGCACTCACCGCCTTGCAGACGAGCTTTTTCTACCCAATCCTGGATCCCAAACAGAAATTCAAACCCAAAGTCTTTGAGTTGCTTCAGTCGAGTCATGACATCTGGTGTCACCCATTCAGGCAAGTCCATTTTGTGTGCTTGCTAGAAAGAGAAACACAATACTCATCTGCAGGTAGCACGGAGCACAGGTTGATCAGAGGATGGGAGTTGGGGGGTCTGGAGTCCTGCCCATCCTGCTACTGGTTTCCTGTACTGTGTTAAATATGCCCCTTCCCTATTTATGCTTCAGTCCTCACGCTGCTGTGCTGTATGCAAAGAACAGATGTGGAGTTTAATGTTGTTGCAGAAATTACTAATGAGAAGCATGAAGAGTAAAATCCAGGAGCTACGTTTCTGTGAAAGCACAACCCAAGTGCCAGATCATGTTGTACCACTGATAACAACAATCTCAGGGCATTTACTTTACATGTGGCTGATTCTGCCCTGCAGATAGCATTCAATCAAGAAGAAAACCAAACACAAAACCCAACAGAAAAGATAAGGGAGCGAGCATGAACTCGAGGTTTCTGGTGTACCACTTCCCTGGAGGCTCTGAGGGCCACTGAATGATCCTGGAGAAAGTTTCCAAGTGCTTTACAGATCTAACCCTGGGATGCACCACTGACAAAGCCCCGCACACTAACCCAGAACACACAGAACTGGGAACCAAGGGAAGAATTTGCTTTGCAGCCAACCCATTACAAGAAAGGATTAGTTATCCTGGCAGGCAAACAGCAGTTGTGGTTTCCTGGCATTAGATGGAGCAATTTTCTATGCCACATCCCATTAAACTGCCAGAAGACGAAGCTGAATATCCTTAAGGGCCAATTCTGAGTGGTTTGGAGAAACTCCCATCAAAAACTCAGGTATTTAGTTAGTTTTTTAGTAAATTACACTGAGAATGGCTGGGAAGTTCAGCTATTTCTTGTGGTAGAATGAATCTACTGGCTCAGGTGAGAAAAACTATCCTCATCAGAGCAGTGTTTGTATGAGTTATAAAAAAGTAGGAAGCCCAAAGCTGGTGAGGCTGGTTGCCTGAGGGTGTAGTTTTGAGAGTTAAAACTCCCCTTCTTCACAATGCCCTGGTTTCATTTTGGGAAGCCATTCTCCAGGTTCTTGGGGATTACAGCGGTTGTCAGTTGGCCTTCAGGGCTCAGTGTGCAAGCTCAAGTGAGTCTTGAAAACGAAAGAGATTTGAAATTCTTGATCTCTCTGATCAAATGATTTTTGTTACCAACAGCAGTTGTTTCACTCTGATTCACTGTTCCAGGAGAGGAGGTTGGGTTCGTGTATCAAAGGGCAAATTTACACAGTGCGACGCAGCTCTGGACTGGAATATTCTCAGCTTGCAGCAACTCAAGCTGCTACTTTACATAGCAAAGTGCAATTCCTTGCAGATTTATCTTTCACATCCTCAAAATAGTACATACCACCGTGTACCACTGCCAGCAAGCCAAGCAGTCTTGCACCTCCACAGGATTAGCATGACACGGGATCAAACTGCTCAGGTTTATGGCTTCTTTCACCTTCAGTGAGTCTGACATGAAAGAACTCTATAATTTAATTTACTGGGCTATATAGTGACACACAAATGAACTTGTGTGTGAGCACTTTAAGCCTCTGGGATACGTGATCTCTACTTTAGCACTATCACAGCACAGCTAAACCTGATCTTTTATTTTGCTTAAGCCTTTGTGAGATGGGCTTTCAACAAAACTCCACGTGAATATAGAGTTTGGTGCCTCACCCGAGACAGTAAAAGGGTAACATCTACCTCTAGAGTCTGTCTCTGGCAGAGGACCTTACAACAGGTCAAAAACCAGATGTGGATGAATCCCACTTAACCTAGAAGAGCATTATTTTCTTTTAGAGATGGCGTTACCAGAAGCACAGAAAGAAAAGTGATTGATCTGAAGTAACAGAGAGATAGAACCAGGAATGGTTCCTAGTTTAAGCTCCCAATCTAAATTGTAAAGTTCTTCAGTTCCCAGAGATCTCATTTCTCCCTTGCTTAACTCAGCCTTGTCTACAGAGATCTAAAGATTTCAGCTGTGGTCATTTCTAGGTACTTGCAAAAGAGGTATTTATTATGCAGGTGGGACTTTTTCAGGCTCTGGCGCAATACCTAACCTACAAAGTGGGAGCTTATAGGGTGCCAAGCAGGTAATTCTTGGCACATGCCTTTAGTGAGTGGGAACTGTTGTTATTCTGAAATCAGAACACTACTTGTAACTGCAGGGTGGGAATGGTGAGAAGTTTTGGGGGTTTTATGGGATTTTGCATAATCATTTTCTACCAAATCCAGAGTCCCACAGGCCAAATTCCAGTGGCTGTACAGCGATGGCCAAACTTACTTCACAGAACAGCGTGTCATACACGCTCCAAACACCCTCGAGAGAGACATCCCGGATCCCAGTCTCATTTGCCACCATCTGCAGGAATTGCTGTAGGTATGAGAAAAGAGAAAGGCCTTCGGTTTTCTAACCTCATCCTGTATTACATGCACAGGTATTCCCACCCTCTTCCCGGAGCTCCGATTATACAGAAGTGATATTACTTTAACTACAAGCTTAAAACCACCTTATCTCATGCAAACAATCACTTACCCAATTCTCTCTGGTCTTATTTACGTATAATGCTGAGTGCCGGGTTTCATTCTGTAGCTGTTCATACCGTGGACAGGGGGTCAAAGGAAACTTCAGTAGCTGGGCAGAGACAACAAGAGCAGCTTGAGCGTGGAAGCACAGAACTTGCAATCAACACGTGCAACTGCAAGGAAACCCTAACAAACAGGAGGCATCTCTAAACAGCCTCAAGTACTGCCTTCAACATACTCCAGGTCATCTGTGGTCTGCTGTGGTGTTGCATCTAACAAGCTGAGTGACCACGACCCCTGAATTCTCATCTTAGAACTGAAGAACCTTTGCAAGGTAGGTCCCAGGAGGAGTTAAACAATCTGAATCAAGACTGAAGCAAAGACTTTTGGAGAACTCAGCGTAACACACTGAGTAGTCAGTAGGTATCCTTGAGCCTAACTTACCCTTTCATCGGACCTGGCCACTGTGTGCACAGGGATTGGCTGCCAGGAGATGTTGGGGTTGAAGATCTGTGCTCCCTCTGGGGGATACATTCCTGCCAGGTTGGCCTCCGCACTCATCAGTGTCCGGTCATAGTCCGTGCTGCGGACGAAGATCTGCCAGGACAGGACAGTGCACCATTAGTAACGCTGTTGTAAGTGGTGATGCTCCTTGGATGCACTCGCTGAGGAATGTTGCTAAGTCCCCCCCAGATGCTCATGGACAACAGGATGATGGGAGCTGACGGGACCGAGCTTGCTGATGTCAGCCTGGCCAAAACTGTAAGGACAGTCACAAGGACAGTTTGGTGTGTAACACTGGAGTGGGCTGTGCTGGATCACTGGGATGGGCAGGTGCTGTCCGGGGGTTACAAGCAGTATCTGAGTATGGGGAAGAGTAAGAGAAGAGCTGGAGCAGCTCTGCGCTGGAGCCAGGCTGAGAGAGCTGGGCCAGTTCAGCCTGGAGAAGAGGAGGCTTCTTAAGGGTAGACCTTAGAGCAGCTCCAGTGCCTAAAGGGGCTCCAGGAAACCTGGAGAAGGGCTTTTTGCAAGGGCAGGTAGTGACAGGGCCTGAATCCAGGACACAGGATAAGGAGGAATGGCTTAAAACTGACAGAGGGGAGATTGAGATGAGCTCTTAGGAAGAAGTTCTTCCCTGTGAGGGTGCTGAGGCGCTGGCACAGGGTGCCCAGAGAAGCTGTAGCTGCCCCATCCCTGGCAGTGTTCAAGGCCAGGCTGGACACAGGGGCTTGGAGCAACCTGCTCTAGTGGAAGGTGTCCCTGCCTGTGGTAGGGGGTTGGAACTGGATGAGCTTTAAGGTCCCTTCCAACCCAAACCAGTCTGGGATTCTGAAAGAGCAACACAGATGCAGATAACGATGGCACAAATAGGAAGTGTGCACGAGTCCTGCATTCAGTGCCCAGTTCTGGGAATGCCCTGCTGGGCTCATGGGAAAAAACTGGCTTCTCCACACTTCCATCTGAGAAATGAAGACAAGAGCGATCTGACTAACAGGAGAGGAGAAAAGGGGGGAGCTGGGATTCCATTTGATCATTGTAGACTTTCGGGATGAATGGGCAAAGACTTCTCATTCCAGAGCTCAGAGGGAGAGATCTGAGCCAGAAAAAGAGAGAAATGAGAAAAATACAGAAAATTTCAGAAGGTCAAAATGGCAAAACTTTGGTATTGTGGTATGTGTGTGCTCAAGACACTTAGGGGGAGACTGGAGAGAAACCACTGAGAAAACAAGAGGAACACACAGGAAATCGTGAAGGAATGACCTAGAAACCAGCATGTTGAACCTGAAACAACACAAATAAAAAGCCAGAAGAATGAATTTCAATGTCAAGATGGGGAATTCTTTTCTTTCAATGTTAATCAAGGAGAAAGAAACATAAGAAAAAGCACATCTGCTCACTGTGCAGAGCATCCCTCACGTGAAGCGTGCCTCAAAACTTAACATTGTCACGAGGAAAACAAAAAGTTGCCTTTTCTCTGATAATTTCTACCCACTTTTAACTGTGGCTTGAAAGCCACTGCCCCTGTGCTCATTACCCAGGCCTGCTTCCATCCTTGGTCAGCTCTGAAGAAACAGAAGGGAAATATATTAGAAGATAAGGCTCTAATGGTAGAAGTGTCATAAAAGCCAGTCAATCCCTGGGTGCTGCCCTCAGCACCTCTGCCAGGGCCCCAGCCTGGCGCCCAGTCAGGTGACAGACGGTCACAGGGTGTCACCCAGAGGCCAGGCTTCTGCTAAGGGAGGTTGCTCAACTCGAGCAGGGCTTTGGGCTTGGTTAGCACAACTGCTTTTGTTTGCATATGCCTGGGTTTGCTTTTCCTTCTCAAACAGGGGAAGGAAAACAGTTTGAGTGGGCAGAAGCTTTAGAAGAGTGAAGTATGTTTGCAAAGGAACGGCTGAGGAATGTTAAAGGATCCTGTTTGAGCCGATCCTGGAAGTTTTGTTGATGAAGCAAATGTCACAGAAGGGGTGCAAACTGAACTATGGCAACCTGGGGGATGTACTGGGGAGCCTGAAAAGGGGGGAAATGATGACAGAAAGTTGTACCAGGCTTCTCAGCGTGGTCAATCACCCCAAGAGAGCTGGGATAAAACAACTGAGCAGATGCAGAGCCAGTGGTAGGATAAGGGGTCTTGCCTGCCCGCTGTCCACCTGAACCCGTGATGGCATGCCTCTCATCATGACACTTGCTCATGTTCCCCTTGACTCACACCTCTTTGACCAACCATCAGGAGTATTTGGGGAGATTTTCCTGAGTGTTTGGGATGTTTCAGATTTTCCCCCGTGCTCAGCACATGGTTCCACAAGGGCTCCACGACTCTTTACACAAGAAACCTACCCGTTTCTCAAGAACTATTGTAAAGTGCGGCAACATCCTGGAGAGAGAGAGAGGAAAATTAATAGCTTTGGGGGACTGAAACCGTTGGTACTTTATAGATGGAAACGAATGAGAGGGTTATTTCTGGTTAGCAACTACTGCTTATGTTTACAGATGCCCATGAGATCGTACCTGAAGTGCACTGGGGCCCCCACAGAGCCAACACGGGCTGCTTCCTTCTCAGCTGACGTGACACACACATACACACAGAGTAATCTTACAACCTCGAGTAA